AACATGTTCAAAATAAAGATTCAATCAATCAATCAATCAATCAATTTATTATGCTAGGGAGGTCGTGAGGTAAGTAGTTCCTGCATCACTGTGCTTCGTTCCATTTTGCAAAATTCTTTAACATCACACACAAGCTGTCTGTCCACTGACCCGTTGACACACATCAGGATAGGGTGCTGTCCCCAGGTCCTTAACTGCAAGTGTCGGAAGGAAACTGAGCAGGAAATGCCAAAGAATTATGGGACTCGAAGTCTCTTAGGAGAAAATTGATCTTGACACAGCAGATAGATTTACAGATAGCTTTGCCCCGTCTGACCTCCCCATATCCCTCTTGTTCAAGATCGAGTACATATGTGTGCGTGTGTGTGTGTGTGTGAGGCACGTGCTCGAAGACAAACTTTTCTTTCATTGGACTTGCATCCCTTTGAGGCAAAGACCTTCTTCAGCACATTTGCAAACACAGAGACACACACGAAGAGTGTAGCGCTTAGATTTGTGAGGAGAGTCTGGACAAATGTGTCCCCATGTGGGAATACTCTGCAGCCAGGTGATGAATGGCCACACATCAGCGGTGCTGTGAAGCTGACAACCTCTCCTTTTCTCTTTGCACTTGAGCATCCATCCTCTCATTAAGACTTGTGTAAGACTATGTGGCTGCCTGGAGCTGGCTCCCTGCTCTGTTTTTACACATATGCAAATACACCCAGATGCAGATAAAAAGCAGCGTGTGTAAATGTTGTGAAAATGGTGCAGCCTTTCGCCAGCTGCCTGTTTATTTAAGTCCTTTCTTGTCAGCCTCTTGTGTCCATATGTGTTAACACAGCCTTTCTCTAATCAGGGCAGGGCTGTGATTTACGGAGGGCTTGGATTGAGGTTTGGGTGCAGCTGCGAGCACAGCAGCCGTCACTGCAGCGCTCGGCCCGGCAGCTGCACGTTAACACAAACACACACACTGCACAGGTACAGCCCACGTCTGTTTTGGTTAGAGGTGTCGAACTCTATCCCCCAGTAGTGCCACCTGCGCCTGGTCGAGACTGATCTGCGAGCAAACCTGGAGGCCATTACTGTGCTGTTTACCTGCCACAGCTACTAATTAACACTAATTAAAACACACAGTCAACCTCTCAGGCATTTTATGTGTGAACACCTTCTTTGCACTTGCATGCAGGAATGCTTCAGTACGAAGAGAGCAGATGAGTGTGTGTGTGTGTGTGTGTGTGTGTGTGTGTGTGTGTGTGTCTGTTGGATAGACTTCTATGGCCACATGTGGGCTGTCCTGACCACACAACCAGATTCTTCCAAAAGCCATTCATCACGTCATCCGTTGGTGTTTGTGTCTCAGGTCATTAAATATTAAATATGTGCTCTCTCTCTCACACACACACACACACACACACACCTACACACACACACACACACACACACACAGACTTCTAGCTTCTACCAAATATGGTTGTTATTAGATGAAGAGGAACATGGTTCCCATTAAATTAGCAGCAGTGACATTTCTACGTGACCTTTCGCTGCATATCAATCTTTAGAATAAGCCACACAGATTTTAAACCGTGTTATTAAGTATTGCGGCGGCCGTATCAGTGCCGCAGCTGCGGCGTATATGATCATTGTCCTAGCCTCAATGACAGCTGTCAGCTCTGTTGAACTGAGACCCGTCCTGCCCAGTCACACCTGCTAATGTCAACACCTGAGGTCATGGAGGGCTGTGCACCTCAATCTTGCCTTTAACACCTCTAACCACTGGTCTGGTGTCTATTTGAGCCCTCCCCCCCCCTAACTTTTCATCTGTACCCTTGTTGCCTCTCTCACCACAGTGTCAGAGGTTCTCGCCTTATCTGAGCGGCTCTTCTGCGATTTAAAGTAATTGCTAACCTCTTTAATGCCAGCCACATCCGCTCCTGTGATCCTGACTGGCTCGTTTCCTCAGTCATTAGGCCTCAGCTTCTTATCTCAGCAGCAATGTCCCCAGGCCTCTAACTACTGCAACACCATCTCCCTCCTATCGGCACAGCTGACTCGAGCTTTTTTTTGCCTCTGCCTGCCATGACGGCCTCTCATTTAAACAAAGGGGGCTGTAACATCGTGGATGGGAAACTTCATCCCACCTCTGCAGTCACGTCTGCCCTCAGAGGAAATATGTGCAGTTAAGGGAATAAAGCTGAGCCTGTCAGTGTATCTGTGTCTATCAGCCGGCCTCACTGCAGATTGTTAATGTTAGTCAGGCTGGGCTGTTATCTGTGTCCACAGCAGTGATGCTGGCAGCATGACAGCCTCTCCCACATCCACACAAACACACACAGATGCACATAAACTCAAACAAAGGGCACTCAGTCATACCCGTTTACAGACATGCAGAGATGCATATTTGAGTGTAATTTTAATCAGTGACATGTAGCATGAGGTTGCTTCGTGACGGCTGTGGCCTTGGGCAAAACACAAAACACTAACTAACTGTTCTTACTAGGATCTGTGTAATCCAATTAAATGATAATCTACATCAGGGATGACGTTTGACAGACTTATGACTTTTTCATCAGGCACTCCGACTCACTCAATTTACGACCTGTCAAATGTCGTTAGCGGCAACGTTTGTAACATCTTCGACGGCTTTCAACACCCCACCTCCACCCAGAAACATCCTCGACCTAATCAGTTTATGACCCAGAGAATATTTTCAAAAAACAAATGAGCGCTGCTGCAGGAAAATCGCCTGTGGTTGTTCTATTTATACGTGTTTTCATTGTTGTTTATCTCTGTGTTTCGTTTTTTTGTTTGCAGACTCAAAGCAGAATGAAGATGATTGCTGATAACTACGAGGAAGATTACATCCATCCCCAGCATCACCCTCATCATTCGCACCACATGCACCCAGCAAACGTCCATCACCGGAGCTTGCCACGAGCGCCTCTCCACGCCAACCACCGACCCCCTGTGGAGCAGGTCGGCACGAACACGCACGCAGCTCAGAGCTGTTTACACAGGCTGACGCAGGCTCTCGCCTTCATCATTTTAAAAGCAATTTAAATTTCATATTTGTCATTTCACCACGAGTCAGTTGTGGTTAGAACTGACAGCATGAAATTTCCCTTTTCTATTTGCCTCGGTCTTTTCTCTCTCAAGTCCATTTGTTCTTGCCAAAATCATTTATATCATTTAGAAAAACAGGCCTGAAGGGGACACACGAGTGCTTTTGATATTTCTATGTGAGATCAGTTTATGTATCATTCATCTCTCAATCACGCTCACATCCAGCCTTGCCTCAGGACTTAATTTGGTTGATTGAACACCGTTAACGGATAACAAACTGATTCTGTTAGTAGCCCAAAGTTTATGTGTATTTCCCTGAAAACAGTGTAAATTAGCGTGTGCTTGCATAAGCGTGTGCTTGCCTGTAGGTATGCATTCGCATGCAGAGGTGCACACCTGAGCCTGTTGATGTCACGTAAGCACACGAAACCACTAACAGGAGGAATCTTCAAAGAAAGAGATGATGCCACAGCACCGACTGATAAAAACTTGTATTCTGCATGTAATTTAAACTCATCACAGCTCTTTTCAGCCACTGATTGGGGGGATTCCACACTCGCTGGTAGATTGTGGGAGGGTTAAGACGAATACTGGGGATTTCCACTGAGTCGAATTTTGTTTGTTCTATTCGATATGCATTATTGCATCTTTATATACATATTTCTCAAACCTCTTTCTAAAATGGGATCAAGCATGCAGCGGGCATCCCCTGCATTCAGCAACTAAACACACGCACATGCTTCAAAGCACACAGCTGTATCCATGCGTTACCCCACACATACCTGAGCAGTATGTAAGGATTCAATACATTTTTGCTGTTAGCTCCTATGAATCTAAAATACATCACAGTTATATATTATATACACAATCGGACATGCAAGCAGTTGCAGTGTTCAGTCTGAATCTATATTTGAAGTCTATAGGAATGCAGACTATGCTCCACTGAACAAGCACGACTTTAACACCTTGCTTGTGTTCTCTATGTTATGTTATATTTTAAATTTGCCTTGGTAAAATATTATCCCACTATTACACCACATTGTTTCTCTGTATCACTTGCAGCCACAGTAGACTTTCTCCTGAGCTGTGAACAGCAGGGGTTTCGTTTTTACTGTCACACATTACTCCACGTCACTTTGTACTTATAAATATCTTTGCCTCAGTATGACTACCCGGCGCAGTTTTACTGCAACGGTGTTTATAGTGTTTGACATATGAAACAGTACCTCTCTGCAAGTGATACTTCAACTTTTGCAAGTTGGACTGAAAACAGCTTGAGAAAAAAGTATTATTAGGGTTTCTGGGAAATCTTGTTAAGAATGTACAGAATAACAAAATAAGTCATAAATCTGTGGCGATTGGCTGGATTATGCTCAATGTTAAGGGTGAATTTTTATGTCTATACAAGAGAGCTGCGATGGCTCATCCTTACTGTGCGGCGTTTGGGGGAAAACGAAAGCCGAAGATTAAAACGCAACGTGCAAGAATAAAAAAAGGAAAATGTTCAGAGAACAGATTAGACCTTAGATTAGAGAAAAGAAATGTGTGATAGCAGTTTCCTCTGCGGTAACGATGAAAAATCATTCTCTGAAGTTTGGAAACTAGTCGTTGCCGTTTCCTTGGAAATGTCTGTTCTTGCGAGCTTTGCTATTCAAACACATTTGAATGGTTTTGCAGAGTCTGACGTCAAACAGATCACCGCGTTGTGTAAACTTTGTAAAAACTCACTTTAAACTAAAAGTGGCAGCATGTCGGGCCAGTCGCAGCCCACGAGACGAAAGGACGCAGTGGGATGGGAGAAATGTCTCTGAAACGCAGATGCTAACGCCTCGGTCATGACTCAAGGAAAATAACAGACGCCCTCGGGTTTCAGTGTCGTGACAGGTCAGAGCACCGGCAGAAGGAAATCACGGGGCGCGTTTTATATTTGAAAGATATTTCCAGTTTTGAAACGCTGACGTTACTTAGATGCTGATTTTACTTAGATGCTGATGACGATTTAGCCAGTGTGCAGACCATCCAGCTGCAGATGTTTTACAGAGTTCATTTCCCTGTTTATATGCTATTTGTTTTTGTTGCACATCTGCTCCAAGTGTTTTCTCTTTACCATGTTTGAAAAAGGATGAAGGATAATAGCTTGTTAGGGTTGCTTTCCTTTTCTTTTTTATAACTAAAAAAAAGATCATTCTGTTTAATGCTCGTTTTTTGCTCTGGTTGCCACTAAAGAGAAACATGAACGTGTCAGTCAACACTACGTCTTCACCTGCCTGCTCTGCATTTAGGATTGTTTTGTACCCTTGAGTCAAACACACAGTTTAAAATGACCAGCAGACCCTGCTGACAGAGGTCAGATATGCCACCTCATTGTTTTTTCCTCATTTCTGAACTTTGACCTTATGGGAAACTTTAGCAATTTACTTCCCTGAGGTCATGGTGTTTATCTCCAAACACTGGTCTTCACGTGTCTTTTGCCTCCTTGCAGCTTAACCGACATGTTTAGTTACACATTTTTCCCCAAAAACATTTTGTCTGTCTCTCTCTGTCTCACCTCTGGTTGATATTGTTCTGCCTCTGCTCATGATTTATCCACTGCACCAATTTCTTTTCTTCTGTAACATCTAGTGACATCTCTCTTTCTGCATTTCCTTCCTTTCCTTGCTGTCCCCTCTTCTCCTCCGTCATTCCCGTTTCAGTTATAATAAACAAGTGTGGCTAGGTCAGTGGTTCAGGCCGTTGCCGGGTCCAGGAACACCACTTGAAGGATGATTGATGATGATAATGATAATGATGATGAAGAGGCTCTCCGTGCTCACCCTAGAGACCACAATGCCTTTCCAAGATACAGCTAGTGCCATGAATAACATCCCAGTGACCACACATGCACTTTTTTTTTGCGTTTGCGTTTGCACGTGCTCACACACACACACAGGCGCTCTGCAAATTTAAGACGCGTGAGCACACATCCATGCGCCGGCATGTTGGATACACAAACACGAGAATACACTTTCAAGTTTTCCAAGGAGCCAAAACCACATCTCATTCAAATCTCATTGCCACAGTTATCAAGTTCAAACCTCCTCTAACTGTACGCCCAGCCCTGCTTAATTAGTAACGGAGTTAGTGAGAGGACAAGTGAAAAATACTCTGAGGTGACATGCACAGGATGTGGATTTAGCACCCTGGGTTTGTGTCTCAGCAGGGAGTCTGTGCAGTTTGACGGGCATGTTGCGTTCTTGTTGCTCTCATTTAGGCATGCCAGCACCGCTGCCAGATGCTTGGCAATAGCCTCGGAAGGAAATTGAAAGCAGCCATAAAGTGTTTATCAGAGACAGAATTATACAACCTTTTCTTTTCGATTGTTGTTCTTTATTCTAAGTCCTAACATGCTGGCTGCTTCAACTTTATGAGAAGTAGCACATGGTATTTGGCCTGTTTGTGTGTCTGTGTGTGCGTGTTTAACCTGGCAGAATGAGTGGTTATAGGTCTGGCTCTGTTTACGGGGCCTGTCACAGCCATTCACTGCACGTTAGCTTTTAGCACGTAGCATGTTCCATTGAAAGGCCATTATATCTATAGCTTAGCTGCTGAGATGTAGCCTACTGAGTTTACCGAGCTTGTCACAACTACTCAGTTCAACCAAAGCCACCGTAGAGTGCAGCCAAGATTTCTTTTTTTGCTGGAGTGTCACGTTAGCATAGACTCTGCTTTACTGAAGCCTATTTTAGCATTGTGCAGGCAAGGGTTTGGCTATAGTGAGCTGCCAGGTCATGCTAACTATCATGCTGTAAGTGTCTAAGTGAATTAGCCTTCTGGTTAGCAGGGCTCTTGTCTGCACAGCTTCAGTCTAAAGGAAACACCTTATGTGTTTAGTCATTGGTTTCTAACAATCACACTGATGAATGGTGATGTCATGCACAGCTTTTCTGAACGAGAGCATGAGCAGGATCGTTTGGATTTTAAGTCAAAGGGGTTTAAGGCTGGACAGGGAAGTTAGTTAATGAGACTCAATAAACCAGAATTTGTGCAATGAAATGATGAGATGATGATGCATGTTTTTAATGTTTACTCACAGGATGATGAAGAGGGAATATGGGCATGATGACCACCAACATGACCACCCACACCCGTTTCTCACAGTGAGTTTCCACACAGCTGTTGTTACACCGTAGGCTAGTTTTGAAGCTAACATTAGCCAGAGTGTCGTACTGTACATGTGTTCCACTTTAATGATCGTATACACAATGCGCTTCTTCAGTAGGCTTGAGTAACCATTAGACAGGAACACTGATGATACCACAATAACCACAGCATTACCCAACTCTGACCGAGGAGCGTGTAACAGAGCCCGGCTTTTCCACTGCTCGGGGATTTCAGTTGACTAAAGAGCGTTGTTTCATTCAGCTTTATGTTTAGAGTTTTTAGGCTGCTCTTCAGAGAAGTGTTGCTGATTGTGCGTGTGGCGCATGCACTCTGGGCTCTATAGGAAACTGTGTGTTATTGGACCTATATACACCCAGCAGCCTAAAGCGAACATACCAGGGCCCATAGGTGATAAAAACGACACAGTGAGAAAAACCAGAGATGGATGAGTCTGTCTCTGCACACCCCGCTTTTTCAGTCATAGTAAAGTTTTACCGCACTACCCCACCCTATTGTGTGCCAGTGTGTGGGGTAGCTAATTATAATACAACACAGAGCAGTCATGAAAGGGTTTTTTCAAGGCTGAAAGCTAAAAAAGCATAAAATGAAGAATGTCAAGTCATAAAGCATAATTCCTGTTTGGGGAGTTTTATATCGAAGCCCCCCCCCCCATGGGCTTAGGGTCCCTTTGAACACAGACGTGCAGAAAGAGGTCTGTGCAGGGAGGTAATGGTTTGCTTCGAGCTAATACGTGTGTGTGTGGTTTAAAAGAGACATATAAATGTACATATGAGGGACAACAAAGGTGGGGAAAAAAGCAAAAGGGCCCTTATGTATTTATGTGGCAATGGGAGCGAAAAGCAGGCTGCACAGTATACTCATAGTTTCCAGTGCATCTCATTCCTTTCCCCCAGTAATCCACAGGTGGACCATCACAAGCAGACTCTGCCTCTAACCTCAACAACTTAGAAGTTGTGCACTTTGCCCCAGCGCTGCTTTTGGGATTAAGAGTCCTATAGCGTGAGCAAATGGTTTGCCTTTCTGCAGTGCAAAGCGTTTGTGTGTTCAGCCACGTTGTTTGTGTGCGCGTTCGCAAGTGCTCGTGTGTATGCATGTGTGTGTGTTGAAGTGAGTGTTGGTGAGCTATACAGTGGCGGAGCAGCCCACATAGCCTATAATCCAGTCCATGTGTGCTGAGAATGCAGCAGTGTCAGGATTCACCGTAATGAAACAGACCACACTGCCCCCTTTCTCCCTCTCTTTCCATCTCTCCATCTTTTTTCCATCTCTCCACCTTTCTCAGGGTTTAACTTTGCCCTGCTCTAACACATTTTCCTTAAGGTAAATCTGGAATTGGACCCGTGATTAGCCTACTGGTTTCGTATCTCCAATCAGATATCATGATCTTCTGCGTATACTTGTGTATTAGTTCTTCTTATCCTAATCTAATAGAATAAGCCGGGCACATTAGCCTTTGGTGCAGAGTGGTGTTGTGGCTAGCGATATCAGTGCTGCTCATCTATCCGCTGCTGTTATTCTGGCAGTGCAAAGCACGAGCGCAGCTAACGTGTATTAGCCATCCTCTATGGGAGAACAGATGGGAGCTATTCAGTGGTATGTAGCTACAGCGCAATAAGGCCAGACCTAATCCCCATATCCTGTCCCTGAGTGAGCCCTCCCTAATATGAGCAAACAGAGATGACAGCAGCGATAGACAAATAGCCAGGGATCTGTGCGTCTGGGCGCTTGTGTGTATGCTAGATTTGATTGGTGTTTCTTATGGATAACCTTGAGTCCCGGTGCTCGGCTGCATGCCACAAGAACCTAAGTGCTGAGTTTGAGTTGGCAACTTTGAGGTCTAAACATCCAGGTGTGGATTTGTATTGGTTAGCCATGGTTCTGTCTTACAGACTCTGATTGGCTCGTTGAGGTTGTGTATGTCCTGCTGTTGATTACAGGGGTTTTGTTTACCCGCTGGCCTCCGAGACCCCACCTCTAATGAAATAAGAATGTCCTTTTGGAGTGAGAGCAGACGAGAAGGGGGTCAGAGGAAAAAGTGAGGGAGAACATGAGGCCAAAAGCACAGTGTGGGGGGTTTCTGGAAACATTATGCTTTTATCCCACCATGAAGCTATTTGTACTGAATGAAGCAAAAAGAAGCTCAGAGGCTTTCCAAGCGAGGACAGAAATGTGTTGTGTACATGTATGTATTTGTGTTTGCTCACATGCATGTGTGTGCACGCACTTTGTTCAGGTTAAAACAAGTCAAGAAGATGGCTTTCATTTGCCCACTCTGTGTTCGCAGAGGATACTGTGTTTGTATGTGTGTATGTGTCTGTGTGCAGCAGGATTGCTAACCTGTTGATCATTGGCAAATTAAAAGTACATCTCAGAGCAGAGGGAGAACAAAGAAAAAAAGCCCAAAATCCAAACTGTTTAAACCTGGAAGTATTTTTCTCTTTGTTGGTTTGTTTGTTTTTTGGATCCAGCCAATCTGGGATCATTAGGAAATGACACATGGTCGTGGTTAGCTAGCAAGTCGAGATGAAGTTTAGAAGAATGCACAACATAAACGACATTGTCAGAAACATCACAGTCCTCTTAATCCTCTGTCAGCCTATTGAATGGATTTTACTTAACAAATGGAGTGGACATGGAAATAATTAAAGGGCAGAGTGGAGCTGAAATCCAAGCCAGATTAAAGCACTGCAGCTTTGGGGGCCATGTGAGCAGGTAAAATGTTCATCTCCTCATCTTCCTCCTGTGCACTGCAGAGCTTACTATATCTCAGTCCAGCATAAAAGGACTGATAATCGTATAGCTCTACTCTAACCGAGGACTCCGTGTGCAAGCCACATTCCCCATCCACACAGTCGTATCCCTTTAGACACTTTCTGTGTCACACTCACACTCCGATGGTTGCATCGGGAGTATTTTGGGCTTCAGTATCTTGCCTGAGGACACTTTGACAGACACACTGGAGAAGCTGTGGATCAAACCACTTCTTCTACTGAGGGTCTCTCAGTTTGCCTGGACAAAACATAGCTGATATGTTAGCGTCCAGTTTCGTTAAGAAATAAACACAAAGCTGAATCCTAATCTTAACCTACTGTAACCTTGAACAAAGTTTGTTTGAGGTTTTTAGCTTTTTATATAGTGAAAGTGGATAGGGGGCCTTTTATGTCCCCAAAAGGAGGAATTCACATTTAAAATGTCAGCAGAATACAGTATGTAGTAATATATGAACTCCTGGTATGTACACTCACTCAGAGTGGCAGAGCCGGCCACAGCTTTCTGTCTGCAGTTTTGAGTCATAACCAGAAGACTGGGAGTGATGCTTTCTCGAGATTACTCCCCTTGAAGGTGTTGATCTCTTTAAACATACATAGATTTTAACTGGGATCTGTTCTGTTAAACATAAACACCAGATATCTCAGCCCATTGCATACTTTTACGAGATAAAATCTCTTTTATCCTGTTTATGGCCATCAAACAAAGTTGCCCTGTAGGTTTTCTTGTAGACATCATTATTCTGTTTTTTTTTCTTCTTTTCTTGCAACAGCCTACTGATTATAAATGAGCTCCAGGTATAAAATAAATCTAAAGTTGTATGTGCATATCCATGAAATTGAGCTTTTACAGACCATAAGTGCTGTGCACCATAAAGATGGCTTCTGTAAATGCAGTTTTACAGCCCATAATCACAGTTTTCTTTATCTGCATAACAAACCTGAGACCAAAAGTTCCTAAGTAGAAACTAACATCATATAAAAATATAATGTGATGATTTCAGTCTCACGTGGTTTATAGATTTCTAACTGTAAACAAAATACCTTAACTAGCTCATCACTACATCGTTTAAACTCCCCAGCCAATTCAACAGGCTCCTCTTTTCAGCTGCTCAGAAACGCAGGTTTCTGATCTGTCACATGGCCCATCGCAGAAACACATGTAAACATGGTCAAGACGACTGGCTGAAGTTCAAACTGGGGGAGAAAGGTGATTTTCGTGACTCTGAATGTGGCACGATTGTTGGTGCCAGACAGACTGGCCTGAGAGTTTCAGAAATCCCGGCAGATCAGAAACTATTCTGCTGGGATTTCCCCACATTTTCTGTTGGGTTTACAAAGGATAGTTTGCAAACGAGAAAATATCCAGTTAGCAGCAGTTCAGGGCGAAAATGCCTCGTTGGTGCCAGAGGTCAGACTGATAGCCAGACTGCTTGGAGCTGTTAGGAAGGCAACAGTAACTTAAATAAGCACTCATTAGAACCAAGGTATGCAGAAGAGCATCTCTGAACACACAGCACAAAGAATCTTGAAGCAGCTACAGCAGCTACACCAGATGCACTCTTGCAAGCTAAGAGCAGGAAACTAAGGCTACAGTTCACAAAGGCTCATCGAAACTGGACGACAGAAGGTTGTTGCCAGGTCTGATGAGTTTCTGCTGCAGAACTAAAAGAATATATCGACAGAATCCATTGCCAGCCTCAATGGTATCAACCTCAGTACCGATTGAGCATTGTTTAAATGAGTATTGTTGCCCATGTTCATCGATTTATGACCAAAGTTTTCCCATCTACTGATGGCTGCTATCAGTGGTATTGATAATGCTTTACTCCACAAAGCTCAGAGAGTTTAAATTTGGTTTCTTGAACATGACGATGAGTTCACTGTACTCGAACGGCCCCTACAGTCACCACATGCCAGTCCAACAGAGCACCTCTGACATGTAGTGGGATGAGAAACTTGCATCCTGGATGTGCAGCTGACGATTCTGCAGAATGTTTGCAGCACCTTGTTGAATCTACGCCACGGAGAATTAAAGCCGTTTCGAAGGCTTGCTGGTACCAGCTGGGGATCCAACCCAAAACCAACAAGGTGTACCTAATAAAGGGAATAATGTAAGTAGCTTCCAGCTGACGCAGCCCTGCCACTATTTCCTGTGTGCCAGGTTAGAACTAGCAAACAACTATTACCCCACGCATTCATTACTA